GTAAGTGTTCCTGGGTGTTCACCCTTAGAGACTGAGGGAAAAAATAGGTGTGTTATATATTTTTCCTCCCTTGTTTGTTCAGGGCCCTAAATCTCAATCCCTACTATTAGTGGGCTTATTAAGGGAAAACTGTGGCTCTTTTTAGGCAAGTGAATCTAGTAAGTAGAAGGGTTGCCCCACAATATATAAGAAATGCTGTGGGGCCCTTGGGTGGCTCAGTCAGTTAAGTGTCCCACTCTTGATCTCAGTTCAGATCTTGATCTCAAGATTCTGATATTAGGCACTGCTTTGGGCTCCACAATGTGCATGGAGCCTACTTAAACAAAGAAAAGAAAAGAAATGCTGAATAAAACTACTCTAGGTGAGCAATTGTTTTTCCCATCTCATGTCTGTATGAGTACTCAGCAGCTAAATCTTTCACCTGCCACCATGTACCTCTCATCTCAGCCTAACACTTACACTGCTCAAGATAGAATCAATGTTAATGAAACTATTATTAACAAATGCAACTGAACAATGCGTTCTTATCCAATCCCAGGGAACCGACAATGTTCATTCTTTCTGTCAGGCCCTTTGAAATAATCCTAATCTTGTGCAAATGCAGCCTAAATTATATGCAAACGCAGAGGTTGCTGAATCTATCATGGATGTACAGTACGTTTCTCAAATTTGCAAATAGCAATGTTGAAAGGAGAGCAAATGTACTGGGTAACAGAATCAGGATGCAAAGTGTTCTCATCATGAGCAAACTTGAGCACATCAGCAACCATGATGTTCCCCATTCACGTAAGCTAGATTCAAAGGATAAGGGAAATGTCATCAGGAGAAGCCTTAGAGGTACAGAGGCAGGCATACAACAGCTGACTTCAAATATTTGAGAATGAACAACTACATTTTTTGGGTCTCCAGCATGAAGTCCTAGGATTATTGGATAGAAGCTATAGGAAGGCAGGTTTGGGCATAGTATAAGCAGCCTGTCAGAGCAAGGTGAGTGACTCTGCCGGATAATTACTTCAAGCAAGAGGTAAGGTATTGATGACCACTGTGGTTACTTCAAACTCTCAGATCTTCTGGCTATGCTAAGCCTTGTGACTGTGTTACTTAACTGACATTTAATCGGAGTTAACCCAACTACTGTTTCACTTACTGAAGTTTATGTTATTGAAAACAGCATCCACTTCCTGTAAACCCAGTGATTATTTAAGGATGTTAGCCCTTAGAAGGAATGGTAAGAGAATACTTGAGGTTGCAAATAGGTACAGACAGCATTATCGCTTTTTGTAGGAAAATATATGAATATTAATAGACCAGTCTGGATTGTCATACAATCAAATGTTGATACTTCTAATTGGTGGGATTATAGGTGATTGGTTCTTAAAAATTTTAAGTGATGAAAGAGTTTTTTAAGGGTAGGTATCAGAGCTTGCCGATTTATATGTATTCCTTATTGTATTAGTCAGTTTGAGTTGTCATAACATAATACCATAGACTGGGTGGCTTAAACAATAGAAATTTATTTTCTCGAAGTTCTAGAGGATAGAAGTCCCAGAACAAGGTCCTGCAGGATCAGTTTCTGCTGAGAACTCTCATTCTGTCTTGCAGATGGTCACTCCCTCTTGTGTCCTCACATGGCAGGGAGAGAGATCTCTGGTGCTTCTTCCTCTTCTTTTAAGGTCACTGTTCTATCAGACTAGGGTCCCACCCTTAGGACCTCAATTAACCTTAATTACCTCCTAAATACCCTATCCCCAGATTCAGTCACATTGGGGGTTAGCTCTTTAACATATGAATTTTTTTGGAGGTAGGGGAGAACAATTCAGTCCATAACACTTATGCTCACCATGAATACCAAATACTTGGCTCATTAAGATAGTGAATTTTGGGGGCACCTGGGTGGCTTAGTCGTTAAGCATCTACCTTTGGCTCAGGTCATGATCTCAGTGTCCTGGGATGGAGCCCCATATGGGGCTCCCTGCTCAGCGGGGAGCCTGCATCTCTCTCTCCAACTCCCCTGTGCTTGTTTTTCCTCTCTCACTATCTCTATCATAAATTTTAAGGAGACGAGATGTTCAATGCTGTGGGTCATCAGCAGGTATTAGATATCTGAGTTCCTGCTCAATAGTAATATGTGATGTGCTTAGCACAGTGTGTGCTAGCATATGCCTCCAATGCCCTTCTGCATCTATCACCAGCCTTGGACATCTTCCACTAAATTTAAAAGCACATTTGAGAAAGCAACAGAGCCCAGCTAGAATTCCAGCTCTTATTCACTTTAGATCATCACTTCAGATGTTTTCATTTCTTCATTTCTGAGATAAGGGGGCCAGTCCACATGACCTCTTCTAACTCTAAGGAAAAAGCACCTAGCATCACTTAGTCAGGACCCACTGCACCTGGACAGTGGAGAGCCTATTCCATGTGAATAATCTGCCAAAGTGTCTTTCCTACAGCCATTTTGTTTGGCTGAAAAGAGTACCCTTGGTACTTTCATTCCTTAGAAGATCACTAGGAACGAACCACAGGAGCCTTAACATATTGATTTTATTTGCTATTTTATTGCAACATTAGAAATTAAAATAAACTATGAAAAGCTGCAAACCCATGCTCCTTCATGAGCAATGGAGCAATGGAGACACCCATTGTAGAAGCTGAAAAGTAGCCTATCCTCTAGGGGGTAGAAGGACTTCACACACAAATGTCATCAATGGTGAGATTATGGACATTTGCCAGCTGGAGTTTATGCACCAATGGAAGTTTAAAAATGAATATAAGGGAACATTGGCTACTCCTGACTTCTTAGCCAGGGAGTATGAGTGTGAAGTATCAGAAGGTGCCTAAAACCTCTACAAGCACATAGGTTTACAAAACAAACAAACAAACAAACAAACAAAAAACAACCAAAAACCAAGCCCAAAACCGTGACACTCAGGCATTGCTGAAAACTGTACTTGGGAGGAGATTCCCATCTTACGAAGTTTGAACACACTCTTTCTCCTGCTGGATAGCTGGGGGAAAAAAAACATTTAAAAAAATCATTAAGAAAGTATTTTCCTAAGATTAAGTTCAGTTTCTTCCCCAAAAGCACATTTGCAAGTCACTAAAGTTTGCCATACCTGCTTACAGGTGTGTGTGTGTGTGGGGGGGGTGTATACTACCTGAATATTCATTAGAATCTACATCAACTACATGGTTTTTTCCCATTTAAGAGGTAAATCTATGATACTGCCATTTTTTCCATATATTATTTTAAGGATGAAGAGAAACTGAAGCATTTTCTTCTGATTTATCTATCCCTATACAATTAGAAAGATATACCATTTCAGGCAATTTTTACTAACTTTGGAACTTTCAAATAATAACAATAATAATGCTGACATGAAAATAAGTAAATAATAATATATATAATATATATAATAATATAATAATAATAAATAATAAATAAATAATGCTGACATGAAAAAATGTACCCCTTGGTTTGGAGTTTCTCCAGCAGACTGTAAGTCAGGAGGGCAAAACTGATCCCTTGATCCCTGGGAGACCAGAGTATACCCAAGAGCTAAAGTGGCTCTTTTACCTCATCTTGTCATCAGGTAGAGAAGGCCAAAACCACAAAGTTTACATAGCTCTTTAGGGAGAAGATCACAGACCCAAATTATTAGGTGTATAAAAATGGCAAATAACCAAAAATTGGACAAAACTAAGATGTTTATAATACTGAGTCCAATATCCCAAGATTGGTTTTAATGTGGCTTTTAATAATTTTTTCAACAACCAAAAAAACCAGTTTTAAAAAAATTCTCCCATTATTACTAGGGCTTATTTTGTGAGAACCATTCATATAAGCCAGGTAAGAAGCAAATACTTGATATTTTTAGATAATGCATTAAATACATTGGTACTTTAATTATTGCTTACTTTGTGGCAAAATTTACAAGAAGAGTTTATTTACTGAACCTATCAACTTTCACCATTGTTTATCTCAACAAGAAAGCTCCTATGACTTACTTTCCTTTGAGGGAAGAGTATTTTTTTCTTTAGTATTAGTTTTCTTCAGTTTTGATCTGTCGAACTTCTCCACTTCAGACAAATCTGGCTTATCACTCATCTTGACTAACAGAAAGGCTGAAAAAAAACATTTAACAAATCTATGTGGTAGAACTATTGTCAGACTAAAGAGTAACAGCCAAAATTCTCACATTTAGTATTAATGTGTATTTTACCTGCTGATTTTCTACAGGAAACAAGCAGCGGATCTTAGAAATGTTTTTATTAGAATATTTTTTGTTCCATGTCATTACCCTATTTCTGATAAGTAGTAAATGCCACCGAATCAGGATGTACCAGAAACCAGATGCTCTAGTAACTGGAGTCAATATGTCTCACTCTTAAAATCAGAGCAAAGGTAAAATGAAGGTGATAGAGACACATGAGCAGATAGAGACAGAAGAAAAAATAAGGACTGGGTTTAACCAGCTGATGAATTTGACACAGGAGATAGCACTTTTTGAGCATCTTCACTTTCTAGTCAATTACTGTTGGGGGGGGGCACTTCTCCTGGGGGATATGAGCAGCACACCAAAATGCGTGGTTAAAAAGTTGTACTAGTTTCTTTCCATTTTATCTGCCCAAAGACAGTAGATTAAATAGCCACAATAAGAGAGGGAAGGTATTTAATCTGATCATAACTAATTACATGTCTTATTCCAGCTCCTTATGGCACTGGTTTGCAAATGCTGTAAGAAGACACAGCTAATTAGGATCAGATCAGCAGAACGGGATAAACAAACAGAGCTGATTTTTATTTCGCAATATCTTCTCTGCAAAGGGAAAAGTTAGGAGATGAGGTGCCCTGTGAGCATTCTGGATTTGTCAAGAAGGGACAATAGGTGACCCCAGAGACGGGAAAACAGTGCTCTCAGGCGCGTGCCTGGCCCCACCCTGGTAGAGGTTAAAAGAGGTCTAGTGCCCAGAGTAGAATGGAGAGACCCACAAGCAGCCAGAAATCCTGATTATGCCTCCCTTCCATCGAGGTCACCCTACGACCCTCCTCTGATGAGGAATCAGAAGCCAATTTCTAAGGTAGGGATACAGGGACTAGCAAATATCATAAAAGGCTGGGCACATGGGTATGTTTGTCTGGAGCAGTTTGGTTACATCATCTTTGCTGGGCGCACAGCCCACCTTTTGGCCACAGGAAGGGAGAGCGGGAAGTGCCAGCTCCAGAGGGCCCAAACCCAGCAGCACCCAATCTCCTCGTCCACTCAGCCTTGGGCGTGCAGCCACCGCGGACAGGCCACTCTGAGGGGGTCATTCTAAGGACCCACCCGGAGAGGATTCGGCAACGCACAGAAGGCGGCGCCGCAGACAAAGGCGCGGACTCTCTAGGAGGTGCAGTTAGAAACCGCCAGTCCCAACCCCGCCCCACCAGTTCCTGAGAGACCGACCCACTCCGCCCCGCAGCCGCTGCGCCCTCCTGTCCCCATAGTCTTCTGGCTCCGCCGGGACCGCAGGTCCTCACCTGATGGCTTGAAGACGGTTGAAATGACGACGGCAGGACCAACGCCGCTCCAAACACTGGACGAGGTTAAACCTTCCCGCGTGGTACCCTGCAGTTATAAATCGCGAAGCAGGCCCCGCCCCGGACCCCTCCCCAACCATCTCTGATTGGCTGAAAGATCCCAGGCCTTCCTTTTCACCGTCCCCCACTCACCCGCCAACCCCGGGGCTTTGGTCTTGTAGGCTGGAGTCCACTGTCTTCCCTCTTCTCAGGACCTCTACCCTGCTTCAGTGTCTTGATGACGTCATACCGGAGCAACCTCCCCAGACACTGCCCAAGCCGTCTCTGATTCGCGGAGGGGTCGTCTGCCTGCCTCCCCCTACTCTCCCACTATTTTCTTGCTAAGGATCCACTTCCTCCTTCCCAAGTTCACTCACTCTTCCAGTATAATTGGAGCCTGAATATAAACAAAGACTTCTTTCTTGCCCAGTTATCTTCCAACATCTGGAACTGGCTTTTTATAGCCATAGAACCTAAGTACACCAGGATAACCAAACAATGGTTTGCCAGTAATGCTCAGTGGCATCTGTTCTAATCCTTAGCCATTGACCCTCCTCCATGACCTTGATCCTAGGTCATGGAGGAGGGGAGCTCCTTGAGAGGGTGGGCAGTTCAGAGTCATTCACCCCCACAGCAGAACATTTCTGTAATAGTGGTACTGTCCTATGTAAAAGTCACACTTTCAATTTTCTCAGACACTGAACATGGTAGTTGTCAGTAGGGTAATCACGGGAGAATCTACTGGAGGATCATCTTAATCTCCCCAATCCCTAGCACTTTGCTTGGCCCACAGGAGACTACCTAAGTACCTGTAGTCTATATATGGAGGTAAGAACGTCCATGATAGAGAAGAAATTTTGGACAGCAGCACCACCCAGTGTCCATGTTGGGCGAGGAAAGTGAGGATCCAATAGCTACTTGAAAAGACCAAAAGTTCCAGGTCACTTTCTGGATATTCACCCAGAACCTTCGAACATTAAGGTAAGATGAAGATAGGATGATGTCTTTAGCTTGTATCCCATATTTGCCATGTGGCTCGTGTATTGTGGTAAAGATACTCTACATACATCAGCACCCAGTCTCTTCACAAGGATTTCTCAGACCCTCCCCACCTTTCTCTATTTATTCCCTTTTCTATGCTCTTGTAGTATTTTGTGTTAATTCAAGAATTTTGTTTGTCGGAGAAACTTTTAAAGCAGAAAGCCACTCTCATTCAACACACAATATTTATTAAATATCTATAGTGGCCCAGGCATTAAATATAATAAACACAAGTGTTTCCACAACTCAGATTTGAATATTGTTAACATTTCATTATATTAACTCTTTTTTAGAGAATAAAAAGAGTAAGGAAAAATTTAGGTTCCCTTAATTCTCAGCCCATGTCCATTCACCTTCCACTTCCCCAGGGGTTGTCCTATCCTGAATGTGTACTGTAGTTCCTAGACCATGTTTTTGTATCATCACAGATTTATATGATCTCTGTTCCTAGGAATAATATGGAACACTGTATGGACCAGTGTTTTAGGTATAAGAGAGAACTTCCACATCACTTGGGGTAAACAGGAAGTCCCAGACACCCACACACCCTCCTGTAGCCCAGACTTCAAAATTTATCTTGAATCTAACTGCTTTGAATCCACCAGAACTCACCTAATAATGGTGTTTAACCCCATTTGTGTTAGTCACCAAAAGAACTCCAAGATCCCCACAACACCCCTCAACTGCTGCATATTAACCCCCATAAGGCTGTGACCTCATTTCTCCTTTAGTTCACTTCTCACACCCCTCTCCTACTCCTAAAACACAATGCACCCTCAGTAATTCCTCTATAACCCCAGCCTCTTCCCTGAATGTGCCCATCATTTTTTTTCCCTGACAGAAATCAGTCTTCTTCCTGGGGACTCTGTGTCCCCTGAAGCCCACACAAGAGGAACAGATGACTTTTCTCTCCCACCATCATTGTACTGCAGATCCTGAAGGTCAAGTCTTCCTTGGTCTTCCTAGCTTGTCATTGCTGCCATTAGACCATTCCTCTCCCACATCTCTGAAAACCTCTAGTTTTTGACAGCTTGTCACCAACTAGCCTTCATTTTTGTTGTCATTTACCAAACTTCATCCCCACCCTGCAATTTCTCAAAGGTTTCAGCTCCTGGAGCACAGTCACTCCCAATGGTAGTAGTCCTGTCTTAATTCCCAGTGAGCTCAAGAATGATCATTCTGACACACTCACTCCTTTAGTTCCTTGAACATTTCTCCTTTGTGACATTGTATATGGCCCCACCTCATATACTCACTCACATGGCTATATGCTAGGCCTTGCACAGCAATTTTAGCAACCCCTCTGTAATCTCAATTTCAAACATCCTTTTCTATGACTATCACCTACTCTTTTTCCAGCTCACTCCCTTTGGTATAGAGACCCCACTATCCTTCAACCTCACCAGAATCTCCAGTCCATTGGTCCTACTATATTTTCACCATCTCTTACTCCCTTATTGTCTTTTCTCCCATCTTCCCTAGATCAAATGTCATGCCCAGTCCTTATAGTCCCTCATTTACATAGCTAAACCTAGCTGGAGGAAAATACACAGCCACATGACTAATTGCAGTTTAAATTCATGACCACAAAGGTCAATCAGGCCCTTACTGCTACCAAGCAATCACTCTATAAATATCCTGTCCCTTACTTCCAACACCACCTCAGCATCCCAACTCTTTATATGCTTATTATTTCACTAGAAAATTTAAACCATAATTCCACAGACTCCTATCACCATATTGCTTCACTTGCCAACACCTTCATCTGTATATATGACCCTCCTGTTGATACCATATATGATTGTTTTGGGCTGAATTATATCCCCCAAAATCCATATATTAAAATTGTAAACTCCAGTACCTCAGAATGTGACTTTACCTTTTTAAAGAAGTAATTAAGGTGAAATGGGCCCATATTGGTAGACCCTAATCCAGTAAGACTGGTATCTCTCTAAGAGGTTAGGGTACAGATAATGCAGACTGAAAACACAGGGACAAGTCCTGATAGCCAAGGAGAGAGGTCGCACCAGAAACCAAACTGCAGATATCTTGATCTCAGACCTCTAGCCTCTGTAATTGTGAGAAAATTAATTCTTTTTGTTTAGGGGCACCTGGGTGGCATGGTTGACTGAGTGGCTGATTCTTGGTTTTGGCTCAGTTCATGATCTCAGGGTCCTTGGATCAAGCCCCACATCAGGCTTCATGCCCAGCACAGAGTCTGCTTGAGATTCTTTCTCGCTCTCATCCTGCCCCTCCTCCCTGCTCTCTCTCCCTCTCTCTAAAATAAATAAATGCAATCTTTAAAAAGTTAATACATGTTGTTTAAACCACCCAGTCTGTGGTCCTTTGTTTTGCCAGCCCTAGCAAACTAATATAATATTTCCAGATACTCCTCTAAAGCCAGACCCTCTCTTTTCCCACTAGATTTCTTTCTCTCATACCAATTCAACAATACCACTATCATCTTTCTCCCTTTTATCTCCAACATCACCAATGTTGTGCTCTATATTAGGTCATTTCTATCAGGATACAATCACGCTATTATATCTTATTTTATCTTATGATATTTATTTATTATATAAATATATTTATATTATATATAAATTATATAAATATAAGGTATATATATTATATTTATCTTATTATATCTTATCTTCACATATATACTTTTTATATATGCATTATTTTACATATATGTTCTCTTGACTCCACTCCCCCACCTGCTATCACCCCATTTCTTTTCTCCCTTTTGATGCAAATCTTTTTTCAGATATACATGATATATATTTCCAAGTGCAATATTTGAAGGCATCATTTGAACTAATGTTCCTGGTCTAAGACTGAATTCCTCATTCTACCTACATCAACCTGGTATCAAGAGCAAGCCCCAGATGACCATCCTTTCCTAGACCACTACCCTCTCTGCCTACTCTCCACCTCACTCACTCTGTCCCAGCTATTAACTCTCTACTGTTCCTCCAACAAGCCACGTTCACTGTTGCCTAGGGCCTTTTTAATATCTGTTCCATCTGTCAGGAATGTTCTTCCCCCAGATATCCACTTGGACTACTCCATCATTCCTTTGTAATTTTATCTACTTACTGTTACAGTTTTTCACCTGCTATTCTCATTTGAACACATTCCAATCAGGGGTCTGCCTCCACCACTCTACTGAAATTTATCTTGTAGAGGTTGTGAATAATGTCTACATTGTTCAACCCAATGTTCAGTTCTTAGTCCTTATCTTACTTGCCTTATCAGCAGCATTTAGCACAGTGGATAAGACCTTCCTCCTTGGTTCAAGGTCTTCACTTGGCTTCCAGGACCCCACACTCTCCTATTCTCTAATCTCACTGGCTGTTCCTTCTTAGTCTCCTTTACCGGCTTCCTCTCTCCTCCAAGACCTCTTAAAATGGGAGTGCCTGCAGGCATTGTCCCAAATTCTCTTCTTTTTTTCCCCTTATTTATTAATTCATTTATTTTTATTGAGCTATAGTTGACATTTTAAAATGTATTAGTTTTAGGTGTACAATATAATGATTTGATATATGTATATACTGTGGAGGGATTACCACAATAAGTTTAGTTAACATCCATCACAACACATAGTTACACATTTTTTTCCTTGAGTTGAGAACTTTCACGATTTATTCTCTTAGCAACTTTCAAATACACATAATATTATTATTAACTGTAGCCACCGTGGTATATACTACATCCCCAGAACTTAATTATCTTATTTTTAATTTAAATTCAATTAATTAACATATAATGTATTATTTGTTTCAGAGGTACAGGTCTGTGATTCATCAGTCTTATATAATACCCAGTGCTCATTACAACACATACCTTCCCCAATGTCTTTCACCCAGTTATCCCATCCTCCCACCCCATTCCCCTACAGCAACCCTCAGTTTGTTTCCTAAGATTAAGAGTCTCTTATGTTTTTCTCCCTCGCTGGTTTTGTCTTGTTTCATTTTTTTCCTCTCTTCCTC